TATATGCAAAAAATCATAAAACTATGAAATGAATTATGATTTTATATTTTATAAATATTAAAACATCAAATAAAATCGGTGCAACGTACGGGTCCATATATAGTGTTCAAATAAACTTGAGCTAGCACAAAATTCAAAATAATAAAATTTATATCCTAGTACATTTAAGTTACAGAAAAATATAAGTTGTATTGATATCGTTGTATTTTTCGCTTTAGAAATTTTAAAGTTCTTACGGCAAAAAAAGAACTGATGAAAAATACATTTATAAATTCAGAATTTTTGAGTTCAAGTTACAAATAACCCTAAACATACATTACATTTATAAATTCAAATTTTTTGAGTTCAAGTTACAAATAACCCTAAACTTTTCGTTATCCTGTTTAATATCCCAACTAATTATTTTGTTTATTTTAATGCATAAAATTTTATAATTGTGCTCATTTTAATACACAATTTTTTTTTTATTTTAATTAACAATACTAATAAGTTTCCAAGGAAATTTTAAAAATCTCTAAACTTTACAGAAAATTCTAATTTTATTTTGTGTTTGAGAAATAAAAGTAAATAAATTTTGTATAATCTTAAGTTTTGTAATAATTTTTTTTAAGTTTAAACATGTAGATTTAATATAAAATCTGAACTACATAATCACACAGAAAAGAAGTGGAGATAGTTACCTGAGATGATAATGATATAGAATGGACAATTGAGATAAAAGTTGAACCTAAAATAACCACATGCAAAATGAAATTAACCGAGACAGTGAGAATTATGCCAATGAAGGAAATAAATTTTTGAGATAAATTCATAAAAGATGGACAATGGTTGCTGATTTCGTCGAGAAATTGATACTTTGGAAGAACTACAAATCTAAACGACAAACTCTATACTCACTCAGAAATCTGTATTTTAAATTGAAACTGGGGTCGGAGTGGTAAAGGTTACCTCCGGCGTTTCGCGGTGGGTCTGGTTCTCGAGACGGAGCAGGTTTCTTCTTCTTCGACTTCGATTTCACCATTGTTAACTATCTCGGAGTTCTTCTTCTCCGACTTCGAATTCTAGGTTAAAGAAACTGTCACGGGAAAGGGAAAGTGAAACGTAAAAATAAAAATAAATGGCCGAAGTCGACTTGTTTATTTTTTTTTGGGTGGGAATTGTTTTGAATTAAAAAATGGAATCAGAGTTAGTCACCTTAGGTTTAGTTAATAGATGGTTTGGTTAAAATGAAGGTATTGTGGTATTTAGATAGGCAACAAGTGCCTAACAAGCAGCAAGTGTCCTTTCTTGAAATTCATAAGAGAGAAAGTGTGTGGGAGCGTAAAAAATTCTTTTAATAATATAGATAGAGAAATCAATACAAGCATAAACCAAAACCGTTGGTTAACCGGTCCTTATCCAGCTGGTAGTCAACCATTCTCTAAATCTTCTCTAAGTTTAGTGCCCATATATACAGACACATTTTTTTTATTTTTGTGACACGGAAAACTGATTTTTTAGATCTTAGTATCGATATCTAAATGTGTCTTTTACCTTTTTCATCATCATTTGAACTATCACTGAATCAAACTACTTAACAAATTTCTTTTTTGGGCAAACAATATATTATGGAAAAATAAAAAGAGTTGGCATAAATTGGTCCTTATATCAAAAGAGAGAAAAATCCTAACCGTCAAGAGAGAAAATGAGAGATTTTTTTATTGTTTTAAGCCGATGGTTGGAGGTTTTTATAGCTCCGAAATCGACTTGTTTAGTTTATTTTGCTTCTTTTACTTTGATTCGTTTTGTTTCTGGTCACTTGATTTGTTTGATTGCCAGTTTATTTTGAATTTGACAAATTTTTTGATTATGCTCTTTTATTTGTTTCTTCCAATGGATTTGGAAAGACAAAATCTTTGGTTCAATCGAACCGTTTAGAAAGGGTAATTGATAGATCTATAACGGATGGTGGCGACAGGTCTTACCGGCTTCAATCGTTGATGGTTCTTCATTTGATGGTGATGAAGTTCTTGCTGCACACTATGGTTACTACGAAAGGCAACATGAAATTATATTGAGCGATAATCTCTTTGATTCTGTTATTCTCAATAGAGAAATATAAAGAGTTTTCTTTTCTCGGTTGCTCCGACTAGATTAATAAAAAAAAAGGTGACAATCGTTCTCAACTCAGTCTGAAGCATGATGTTTTCGGATTAATACGAAGATTATCACCTTTGAGATTCAACTATTTCAGAAGCAAATATGGAGCTTTTATATGAAAATCTTTATTCATCCATACGCAAATAGATGTGTTAGTTTACTTTGAATCCTTACTGGTGTATCTATTTTCTATATTTTTTTTGCTAGTTCTCTTTGTTTAGAACTTTTTATCTACAAGGTTTAATAATACAATCCAGCGTTAAAAAATAAAAATAAACAGAGTTAGATTTCATTAATGGAGGAAGGAAGCTTAAGTTGATACAAATATCAGAGCACACATTTTGAGTGGTGAGTTTGGGATTGTGATTAATAAATGATTAAGGGACAAAGTAGGTCAGAATTCTCGTTTGTATTTGAAATAAGGTTATAAATGTGAGCCGAGTTTGACATTCAAACCAAACTCACTTTTACAAGACAATGTTAAGATTGCTAAGTTATTTCTATTCTCTTCTCACTTTTACAAGACAATGTCGAAGGATGGCTCGAATAAGACAATAGACGGCTCGTTGTCCTTTGTGATGAGCTCATATTTTCGGTTTGTTAGAATGAAGTCACATATTTCTACAACACGGGTTCGGATTGCCTCGTCCCAAGGCGTTAAATGTGAATCAATGTGTCATATATATTTCTTGACCCTTTCATCATTGTTTTGTCATCTGACGAATTGGGCCTTCTTGATCTTTTAGGCCTTCTTGTAAATTGGTAGGGGTGCAAAGCCCACCTCCAACAATACATATTTAAAAGAATTGCTAAAAAAAATACAATATACAAGAATAACTCAAATAGTGAGAGGATAAACCGAAGACTTTATGACAAAAAAAAAAAAAACAAAGACAAAGAATATTAATTTTTCCCATAATTCTCATAAGTTCAACGGTGACTTCAGTTGACTTGAAACATACTACAAAGATCTGAGCGCTAAGTAAAATTCGTAGGTCCAAATTTATTGTTTCCAATACAGAGAAGAGAACGCTCTACAATGCCAAAGCTTTAGCTACAAGAGTAGATGAAACAAAAGACCATAAAGACAAAGTAGCTTTGCAAGTGCATCTCAAGCTACAGAGACCAGAAGTGGCTATCCAAACCAAAGTATTCTTTAGTATTTCACAATCTGCTACTGCTACCAACATAGAAGTGCAAAAAACGGTTAACATAAAAAACCTTCATGCAAGGGAACATCAGAGGTTTTTCAGACAGCCTTCTTAAATGAGCCGTGACAACGAGTCTACAACAACACCAAAATATCTTAATCCATGTAACAAAGGGTCTCCCACAACAAGGAAAAGATGCACTATAAGAAATAGTTCAATTTGGTCAAAATACTCTATTTCCGTATTTTGACCACTTTATGATCACATCAAATTGTCCGAAAAGCTCAGACTAAAATTGATTATGCCCAGAAAGTGGGTTCAAAATGTTGATCATATAAATTAATGGTCAGAAATGTTGTTAAGAAAAAACATCAGAAATGGTCAGAAATAATTTCTCACAATTTTTACCACTTTTTGTTAATGTTAACTACTATTTAATAATTCATCAGATTATTAATTTAAATTATTAATAATTATAATAACGTGATTTTTTAATGAACATTGAGTATATTATAATTAAATATTACTTGAAAAAAATACAATTTAGGTTAACAACATAAGAATAAATATATTGAAAAATCTAATCTAACAATAATAAAAGGCAGATATGAAGTAGGCCTGGGCATTTTCCGGTTCGGATCGGGTTCGGGTCGGGTCATGTCGGGTCCGGCTCCTTCGGGTCTTAGATATTTAGACCCAATAGGGTAATTACACTTTGTCGGTTCGGGTTCGGTTCGGGTCCTACCGGGTCCGGATCGGTTTGGGTCTTATATAGTTGGACCCAAAGGGGTAATTAGAATTTATCGGTTCGGTTTGGGGTCGGGTTTGGCTCGGGTCCTATCGGGTATGGTCCAAAAAATACATAAACACACACAAAAAATACCGGAAAATATTTAAATACCCAAAAAACACGTGAAATTTTACCCAAAATCTGACCCGAATACAAAAATATCCAAAACTTTATCTGATTATTCGAATTATATTTTTAAAAACCTAAAATTTTACTTAAAATCCCTAATTATATCCGAAAACGCAAATCCAAAACATAAAATAATACTCATAATACCATAAAAATACTAAAACATATATATATATATACATAATATATACTAGAAGTTTTGGATATTTAGGGTACCCTATCGGGTCTCGGGTTTGGGCCGGTTCGGGTCCAAGATCCGCGGGTCCTCCACATTAAGACCCAATAGGGCAAAATGATCGGTTCGGTTCATACCCGAACCGCACATTTTTGGGTCGGTTCCGGGCCGGATCTTCGGGTCCGGGTAAAATGCCCATGCCTAATATGAAGGTCTCTGAGCTATGCCACATAAATTAAAATTCAGCCAGTAATATTGCTTGAACCGTCCACGTCAGCATTCTTTTACGCTTTGGTTTGTGTCGTCTCCGCTTTGCAATCCAATTTTTTGGTTTAGTCTCGAAACACGGTGTTTTGTCCTCTAGGTTATTAGGGTTTCATAGATGCTGGCATTACAGCATCGCCATCGTGCTTAACTTCGAAAGTGTGCTCTTTCACCTCCGATCTCTTCACCTCCCAACTGTTACAAACAGATTAGTCTTAAAATCCGTAACCATGTTGACCTCTTCGGATTCTTCATGTCTAATCTACAAGTTTTGCAAATCTCCGATTAGCCTCCATCGTAAAAAACAATCTGATTCCGAAATCTTTATCAACCTTACCCAGAAACCTCAAAGATGGCTTCCTCCGATGCTATTCTGCCTCAAACCGCCTTTGATTCTCTTCAGTTAGGTAGATCTTCTCAGATCATTGTCGACAGGCTCCTGCGTTATTGAGACTCGAAGAACATCAAGAAGCAAGGCGAGTTTATGGGCATCACGCTGCTTCTCAGTGATGAAATGGTATGGAGTCAACCAAGGTCTTATATGATTTTTTTTTAATTCATATAAGCGACATATAAGCGATGCTTTTAATTCTAAGCATTTTACGCAGGATTCTCTGATTATTCATGGATTTATCCCTGCTGCTCGCGCTGCTTTCTATTGCCCATCTCTACGCGAGGGTTCAGTGTTGCAGGTTTCACGGTTTGAAGTTGCAAGATGTACTAAAACAAACAAGATCACAGATGAGTAAGTCATGGTACCGTCTCAGTTTATATTCCTCATTATAGTTTCTTTATCATTACATTTTAATATGTTGAAACACATGTGATTGTAGGATTGTCATACCAACGGTGGAAGTAAGGTTCAGTGACCTCTCTGATAGAAATAGTTCATGGAAAGCCTATCCAAAATCTTTTGAATACTGTCTGTAAGTACCAGCAATTTTGTTTGCTACATTGATATGGAATTTTAGAGATTTCCATGTTCTTTACCAAACATTTTTGTCTATGTGCTTAATCTAAAAAAAAACATTAATTATCGGAATTGTGTAGGCTTAAACCAGCTGGTGAGCCTCCGTCTTCTAGAGCTGCTCATGTGCAGCTGCTGTCGGCACCATGGTCATTTTTCAGGTTGTTTCTTGCAAATGTGAAAGGCTTTTCGTCAATTATATAACACATGGTTATGTTTGGCTGATTTACAGGGTGGCATTGGCCCGGCTGGGCATTCTACCGATGATCTTATGGTTATGAGAACCTTCCGTGCCCCTTAAATAACTTAAGTTCTTACATTGAAATCTGTTTATTTCTTAAATATCCTGAAATATTTTCTCCATCTGTGTATGGAACAGGGAAACGAGCTCTCTCTCTGACGCTTGGGCATTGGATACAGCTCAGAAACCATATGTATGGCAGAGATTGAACCCTGATGGTTACCGACCAAGTGCTAGAATGTTAGTGATTTAGTTTAGTGGAATGGCTACTGTAGAAAATCTCTTCTTCAACTGAACTTTCACATATTTTTATATTTCTGTGTAGGTATGCTTCTGGCAGTGCCAGTTTTGACGGCATGTTTTTACTCTGTGGTGGACGAGACAAATTGGGGGCGGTATGTTTATCTTCTCGCCTACATTTTTCTTTCTGTCTAGAAAGTAGTAGAATTATCTTTTGAGGATAGGTATTTATATACATTAGGGACATCTCCCTTACTATACCTTGGCTTATCTTGCTATAATATCTCATATTAATTAATATGTCCATGCAACTGCAGCCATTGGGAGATGCAAGTGGTTTACTCATGCATAGAAATGGTCAGTGGGAATGGATTCTGGCTCCAGGCGTAGCTCCTTCTCCAAGATACCAACATTCAGCGGTAAACTAAATATTCTGGAAAATAAGTTCTTAACCCTAGGCTATTAGTAGATTGCTCATTACAGCCTTAAGTCAACATTTACTTGGCTTTAAGATAAAAGGATTAGTGAGGCGTTAAACTTCAATTACAATATAGTGCTCCGTTCCTAGCCATAAATAGTGTGTTTTACTTTCTTTTTTTCTCTGATCAGGTATTTGTAGGTGCAAGATTGCATATCAGCGGAGGTGTTCTAAGAGGAGACCGCATGATAGATGCTGAAGCAACTGTTGCAGGTATTCAGTGGCTGTTTTTGCGTCAGGGTGTATAGCATTATTTTAACTAGAGCATTTAGTATTCACAGTCCTATTTATGTAGATCACTTGCATGTATCCCATTGCAGGAAGGTATTTCGAATGCGTATCAACAATTGATGATGTTCGTCAACTGCTTGGTATTATATTTCCTGCAGCGACTGAAAAACTAAGGCCACCAGAGGACCTTCTTTGTTGATGTGCCCAAAGTGTGGCAACACTAACGTAGCCGGTTTTGCAAAGTATGGACTCTAACCTTTACAACCATTTATGTTTTGACTAGAATTTGATTTTAGTTCCCCTTGATCACAAGTTATATAACTCCCAAGTCATATAAACTCACTTTATTTTTCCAGTATGTTAGGCTAACTCAGATCTTGGTGCTGACCATGAGAGGCCTGCCCTCCCCAAGATTTTAGTTGACATCGTAGGTCAAACACATAATTTCAGGGACAAAGTGTTAGAATACAACTTCTCAGGAAAGACACGGAATATAACTATTACGAATATTGTCTCTGCAGTAGTTTTACCACCTTTAACAACTCCCCTTGAACTCCCACTTGCCGCCAAATCTAAAGTAGCCCTGCCTTCTGCAAGTGATGTGGGTGCATCTTCCAAAAGCTGTGGATACGTTGCTGGTGAGGGAAACGAAAAGTACCAGTAACAGTGATGAATAATCACAGAACGCAAAGCGTTCTGAGCATGTGAAATAGAGCTACCACCACTCTTACCTTCCCTTTTTCATTTTGAGATTTTACTTTAAATTCATCTTTCAGTGTTGCTTTAGTTAAGTATTGGCAAACAGTTTACTTATTTGGTTAGACTAGAATTTTCAAAATAGTATATAATGCTTTGGTAATGATTTGAACACACTAGGTATTTTGTCTCATAATCGCGTATGCTCTGCTGAGTGTATGATATTGAAGCACTTCATTTAAATTGATATCAAATAGAATTGCCTGGTGTTGTGTAGCTACAGTTGTTCATGTCCAGTGATGATAATGTTAAAATAATGTCAGATATGATTAATCCAACCTTTGAGGGACTTAGTTAGTCGCAAAAATTAGGCACCGATGATTTAGTCCATCGAATTATTTAGTCCATCTCAGTTTAATTGTGAGAATATCTTTTCCCATATATACATCTCCTTAACATAAAAATAAAATCAAATATCTTTCACAATGATCTCCATCTTCCACCTACCTATTAAAAAATGAAAATCATTTTTTAAAAACAAGTCTACCAAAAGGCTCTACTTCTTTAACATGTTTCAAATCACATCTTAAAACCACCAGATGGCCCGTCTTCTAACTCTTTCACGTAGGAATACTCTCATTGTGACACATTTCTCCAATCATCTGCAAAAGTGTAAGAATTTCAAAATCAGACCAAAATTTTTACATACCTTAATCAAGGGTCGCCATCTTGAAGGGATTGGGGGAAACCATCTCTATCCACCCTCTCAATACTTGGAGGTAAGACACATCCTTATCTAGCTGATTCACCAAAATGTTTATACATTTGATGTCATAACACATCATATTTAATTATTAGTTAGTAAAAGTTTATACAAAGGCCTGGAGAATATATATATATATATATATATATATATACATCATTTTCTTATTAACCCAAAATACACAGACGTATTTAATAATGTTGTTATTCAAGCCTACTACAATTTAAATACGAGAAATGAGGATTGATCTTAGGGAAAATTGCCAAATATGACTCAAAACTTGATTTGAAATGCAAAAGTAAACCCAAACTTGAATCAAATGCAAAAGTAACTTAAAAGGCTGTTGAAATTACAACCAACCCCTTGTGAACAAACAAAAAAAGAGTTTTTTTAACGTTTTTAGCCCTCGCAAGTCGTCTGCCCAGACGACTTAGTTTGAAGTCGTCTGGGACAGTTTTTCTTAAAAATAATTTAAAAATTGTGTAATAAATATTTTGATAAAGGAAAAATTGGAATTATGTAATTAACATATGTCTTAAGAGATATAAATTAATATATAACAAAATTCAGTTGTTTTCAGCATAGATGAGTGAAAGTAGTGAGTCATGATATTCTTTGGTTTAGGTTTCACCAACATATGTTGTAGTATTGTATGTGTTTCTTAGGGTTAGATTTTTGAAAGCATAAATGTTTTTTTGAAAA